GGCCACCAGATGAGGGAAGCCCAGCTGTGTCAGTGCTGGTCCCCGGCCACCAGATGGCAGGCGCCCCTCGCCAATGCGCCGAGCGGGGGCCACATTCCTCAGCCTCAGCACTGCTGAGGAGACAACCTCTCCTGAGCTCTGCAGGTGAACGTGTGTCAGCGGGAGATGACTTCTAGACAGGGATGCTGTGCCACTAGGCTGCAGGGTTCTCTCTGCTTCATCCTCACCCTTAGCCAGGAGATGCTTATCCTTCCCTGCCAAAAAGGATCCATGTTCAACCCATGCGATTCAGGAAAGCTGTTCCCCAGGCCCCTGTATCCGGCTAGGTGCTTGCACAGGCTCTGCCAGCCCCAGCCAAGAGTCTTCAGGCCACAAGTGTCCCAACAGACACAGCTGTGACTGTCATAATATGTGAAAAAAGCTGCAGTTCTCACAGACTCACAGACGAGGAGCTTCTTCTTACTCCGGGAAGGAGGAATGTGTTGTTCCACTTCCAGGGCGAGGCAGCTGTATCCATGCCAGGGACTCACTGAGCCAGTAAAGGGGAAATGCAGACAGGAGCTGCCTCCCTCCCTAGGGCTCATCCTTGCTGCTTGTAGGAGAAACTATCAAACACGACACTACTTTTCTCTGTATGTTTCTACTACCTTCTGGGGAGAGCAAAGAAGGATCTGAAAATGACTGGCGGGCTGATTTTTCCCTGATTGCCTCCTGGAAAGGGCCCAACTAAGCCTTGCATGGGTGGACAGACAAGTCATGGTTTGCTCAACAACGCAAAGCCAGGCTCTTTGAGACTGCTCCAGCCCTCAGCTCTGTGAGCAAGAGCCTGCCCTCCAGCACATCCCAGAGCTGCTCCTGCAGAGGCACCTGCTTGGACACAAACGGGAACTCTCAGCAGAGGCTCAGCCTCCAAAGGCAGGGATACTTGTTCCCAAGTGCCTCTTTTACACATGCCTAATTCTTCCCCCTTCTCTGACTGATGACTGCTGCAAGTTTCTTTCATCCTCCTCCCAGGCCTATAAACTCTTTGCCTCCCTCTTTTGGAGTGATACCCAGGACTTTCATGTACGTTCTCAAAGTGAGGATTTTCCCTAGGATTTCTCCCCAGGTTTTATATGCTAATTCAAAAGCCTTGATCTTATCCCTTTTAGATCAGTGCCATAGACAACTAAGAGGAGAAACAGGGAAATCACTACTGCCTGGAGATCTCTGCCTCTTGTGATAGAAGGGAAACAACTATGGGAAATGTACCCGGAGGAGTCTCAGGGTTGCAAAGGAAGGCAAATCACTTCACAGCTGGGATGTGAGAAAAGGATCTTTCCTTATCCCAGCTAGTTTGGAGCACAGGAACAAGACTCACAGTTCTGCACCCACACCTCATGACAGGATGAGGTGCATGAGATTCAATCACAGTCATTGTCTTATAGCGGAGCCTGCATTTCTGAACAACGCAGGGCCTTCTGATCTATCTACAGCCTCTGGCACGATGACTGTGGATGATAGAGTGCTTAAGATACTGTCCTTTTATTGCTGAGTGCTGAGTGCAGTAGAAATCCAGTTTCTCTGGACAATTTGCTGCCCTCCAGGCTCATTTACCCAGTCATGAACAGCTCCCTGCTGCCTTTGTTACTGAGGTGGCTTTAGAGAGTTAGTGGGCATTTGCTTTGGTCTGGTTGGATGAAGACTGCTGCAACTCGAGACCTCTCCTGGATCTAGACAAAATCTGCTACTGAGACAAGTCAACCTTAAAGTAGCTCTCTACAGCATGGATCTAACACATCTTCACCACACAGAGCTCACACGCTGGCAAGGCAATATAGACAGGCAGAAACATAGCAAATAGCCTTCCTTCTGCTGAGTGAGAGCAATGTGCTCCTCTTTTACTCTTCACGTTTCTCCATATATAAGTAGAGAGATCCTGTAGACTCAGGGACAAAAGAAGCACTGCTGAGGAGAAACAGCACGTCCTCTCGGAGGAACTGTCCCTGCTCTTCATTCCTTCAGTGGTATCAGGGACAAGGGAGGCACCAGCAGCATGTGGAGCTGCCTACGCTGGGGCACCTGAATCCTGCCAGCATCTCAGGAGGAGCATTTTAGAGTTGCTCCATCATGCTGCCCATGCCAATGCTTTGGTCTGCTCCACAGGACACCCTCTGACAAGATTTGTAATTAATAACCATCTGTCTCATAGTAACATTTGGACACCAGAAAATTGAAAATAAGATGAGCAAAGTCCAAGCTAACAGGGGTAAAAAAGGATCCTTCCCTATCCTCCCTGCTGTGGAAGGACTTGCCTCCCTCTGAAAAACAGAGACTCCTCTGCATGGGCATATTTCCCATAATTAGTCCTTGCTATCAAAAGCAAATAAGAAAATAAGCTAGCTGAAAATAAGGTGTTCAAGCCAGTAGGCTCAGAAAAAATGTCTACATCTTCCCTTCTCAAGTGCAACCTCTGTGTGAAGTGTGCTGACAAATCCTGCCCCCATCACTGTGCCCACGTATGAGTCCATGTGAGGTAGGCATTCTGTCTCTGGACTGGTGTGGTGTGTGCTCAGTGAAACTGGGAGGACTGGTTCAGGTATTTCTGCTTGTAGCCCTGAAGCATTTCCTGGCCTTGTCCTACTCTGCTATGTCAGCAGGCTCTGGAGAGGACACAGTCAAAGCTATTTATAATCCCTTCTAGGGAGCTGCTCTTGAATCCTCCTCTGTGTTGGGTCAGGACACGATGGTCAGCAGTGGCACCGCTCTGTATTTGCAAGGGTTAGAACTGTTTCTTCCCTCCTCAAGACATTAATAATATAACTCTGTTTACAAATTAAATATGTCCCGGACCCTTTTTTGGCACTGAGGTCAACTGGCACACAACAGTTGTGTCTACTGAGCTCCATTACCCTTCAAATTATGGTCACATGCAACTTGCAACTGGGAATGGTCTTTGGAACTTCCTGGCTCCCAAACCATGTTATACAGAAGTTGTCAGTGCCACATGCTAGTGACTAAGGGCTATTCTAATGCCAAGTGGCTTCTGGAAGCATATCAAGCACCGGTGCATAGGGAAGCACCAGAGACTTCATCGTGCACAGTTTGTATCAGTCCAAATAACATCTTTAGACACAGTCTGTGCTGATGGGTCAATTCTGCTACTGGACTATTTTCTTCTAACACTGAATCTCTGACTTGCAGCCTTCCTCTTTAACTTCAATCCTTCCTTCTCTTAACAATATTGTGGTCCACACATTTCCTCTCTTTGGCATTGGAAACAGCCTCATTTCTCATGCTCCAACAACCCTTCTCCTCTTTGGTCCATCTAGAGGATTTGTTTCCTATCTTAGCTGTCCAGTACTGAGATCCGGATGGGATTCTTGAACTCTGTCCCGTTCTATCACCCTCACTGGGCTAGTGCAGGGTAAGTTATCCCTCATACTCATCATAAAAATATTATAGAACAGCTTTCTTCTAAGTCTTTTCAAATGGACTTTATTCAGTTAAGCCTCAGCCCTGCTTCATCCTCCCAAAGATTACAGCACTATAAGCTATAAGCAGACAGAGGAGACTCTGTGAAGCATCAGCAATGTCCAGCAATGATTATGTTGGATCTACTGAGACCATCTGAGGACGGGACAGATACTGTGTCCAAACACAGCTCTATTCCATGGCGTCTTTCCAGCTTCTTTTGTTAAAGACTGATCCTTGTCTCTCTCACTCTCACCTTTCATCTCTTTTCGCTTTTGCCTCCTCTGCCCTCTATTGTTTGCACAATTTCTCCAGAGAAAATGAAGGACACTCAAATTACCACCTACTCTTCTATCTTTTCAGCAGCACTTTATTGTGTTTCCCTTTTAATGTGTCAGCTCTCTCAAGATGATGCTACCTTTTGTGCTATTGCCTGTAAGACGCCTTGCATAACACAGCCAAGAACTTGGCAGGAATCCTTAAGTGCTACTATAAAGCAAAAAATTAATCCATCATTATTCTTTCTGTTTATCTCTAGAGAGTCTTCTCTAATAGGTTTTAATATTATTGTGGTGCTGAGGACATGCTGAAATTAAATAACACTACATTCAGTTGGCATCTATTCCCTTGGAAACACAGGTAGATATGTATATAATAGGTCTCCAGTGACAATGAGTGTTCATTTATATGACACGGATGTATACTTGATTTGAAAATAAGGACAGTAATCAAAGAGATACCAAGGTTAGAAAGCAACAAAAGAAACAAATAGAAGAAAATTTCTTCTATTGAAAGATTTACTTGAGACTTGCGATAGATATATACACATGGAAAAGAACAGTAAACCTGAGACTTTCTAGATTATTTTGAACAGATTTTGTCTGCTGGCTGAATGATGTACACCACTAGGGCATGAGCTCTGCACTCACTTCCAAAATTCCTATGTTTGTGCATTTCCTGATGGATTCAGGATTCACCTCAGCTGCACTCCACTATTGTCCTGCTCAGACTCCACCTCATACATTGCTCCCAGGGTGCTGAAGTGATGTGAAGCAAAAAGGGTTTTTCCTGCGAGCTTTTAGGAAGGGAGCTCTTTATGATCAGTTGCTTATGTTCATTATTTCGGCTGCAACAGTCCCGGGAACCACCCGTTGTGCTCGAGACGGGAGCTGCTCTGCTCTAATCTCTGATAATCTCTGCAGGCCTCGGCAGTTCAGGGCAGTTGCTCAGGGAGGCTTCGCACTGGTTTATTTGTCTTATTTGGAGCAGTGATTTCAGTAGAAGCGAGCGGAGCAGTGTGCACGTTAGGACTGAGTCAGGAGAGTTTCCCCACTGCAGAAATGATGACAAGAGCTGAAGCAAGTCGGCAGGGAGGCAGTCAGTTATCTCAGCTTGTAACCCAACGTTGCAGCGGCAAACGCACAAGCGAATGAACTCGCTGGGTGGGAGTTTCAGGCTAGTGAGGCAAGTTAATGGCATGTTGCCATCAGCAAGCACATTGACAGCTTTTGCTGTATGCCAGCTCTTCTTCCTAAGACCTTTTCTCAACATTTGAAACAGCAGAGACATAAAACTCATGTGAGAGATAGAGGGGAGCCCTAGACCCCTGAATCCCATTTCTGCACATCAGTCTCCCAACACTTTCCTCATCTTTGTAGGTCTGTGTGTCCCAGATGGCAACGCTGCGTAGAACGTGTGTCACTGCCCTCTTTCCTTGCACATAAATACGGAGGCAACATTTTCTGCCTGGGCTGTCAGCTTTTGGCAGGAGAAGTTGAGCAAGTTTTGGCCTTTTATTTTTCCCCCTGGAAACAATTAGTATTCCATCCTTCGGCTAGTGCACTGCTATTGCAGCCCGGCACAGTGTGTCCTTGTAGCAAGAGAGGCTGCCAGGACTTGCTTTTTTTAGAAACTCAACCTGAGAGCTTTCAAAAGCCCGGGGATCCACTAACCCAGTTCTCTGGAATATTTATCCGCTTTCCTCCCCTTGGCCGTGTTCTCCGGCAGCTTCAGCCGCATTCCTAGAAAGCAGAGGCAGCGAGCGCGCAGACGCTGCGCTCGGCAGAGAGGAGCGGAGCAGAGAGGAGCGGAGGGGCACGGGGAGGGACGCGCTGCTCATCCGCGGCAGCTTCGGCACCGCCGGCTTCCCAGCACCCCGGCGGCTCCCGCGCTGCCCACGGGGAGGAAGAGGAGCGGGCGGCTCCGCGGGGCGCGGGTCGGCACCGCCGGGGCTGGGACCGGGGTGGGGGCCGGGGCCGAGGCCGGAGCGGGAGATGGGGCCCGGTTCGGAACGGTACCGGGCCGGGGACCGGTCAGGAGCCCGAGGGCCGGGGCAGGAGTCGAAGCCGGGGTGGGAGGTGGTATCAGGTCGGTGATGGGGTGGGACCGGGGCGGGGGCCGAGAGCAGGGCCGGGCCGGGAACTGGGGCTAGGACCGGGCCGGGAGCCGGGGCCGGGGCCGAGGGAGGGTGGTACCGGGCCCGAGGCCGGGGCGGGGTCCGCCCGGCCCGACCCGCCCCCGACGGGCTCGCCTGGCCCCGCCGCGGCGGCAGCGGCTGCAGAGCGGC